ATATTTATATATATATATATATATATATATATATTTGTTTTTTTTGTTTTTTTTAATGCATCATATATTTACTTGCACGGATGTCTATAGCTGGTAAAACGTGGGTGTAAAGCAGATCAGATGAAATGATAAGCAGTTGTACAGACATGCATATTACTCAAACATAGCCACTAAGCAGTATTGAGGACACAAGGCTTTCCCAGCAACCCCTTTGGTTTCATTCTCTACAACCAACCACAACCACACATACCTGTCAAAATATAAAGTGTCATGTCATTCTGAAACACTTTTGAAGCATCTCTACTGTCAAGTACAAGTCAGATAAACTGTATGTCAAGTTTTTTTTATTATTTGTTTAATGTCAAATTACACATTAAATGAAAGTGTTTGTATTTCTAAGTGAAACAACAGAATTTAACCAACCAAATTAAATAAATAAATATAAATGTAGAGCTGTACTTGATTTTATCTATTTGGGAATTTATTGGATTATGAAAAGTAGGCATTATACACCAGAATGAAGGCAGGTGGTTGGAGGGGAGGGGCTAAATATAAGAGGACTCGATGATGTCAGCAAAAAGGAAAGTCGTTTTAAGAGTTATTTGATGCATCATGCACAATAAGACCAGGAACAGCATTAGATTTTAAATGTCATGTTGACTTTAACTAAAGGACATTTTTGATATTCTACCAAAATTGCATGGTTTCATTTGCATGGTACTATATTTGTCTTCCTGCAGTAAAAGCTGTCAGATTATATCGAACAGTTAGAGCATTGTGCCATTTCAGTGGTATTAGTTTCAGATCCGGTAAATCCAGTTAGAATGCTGTAACACACATGAAGTGATTTACTCGTGCTGAAGCTTAGTCCAGTCAAACTGTCAGTGGTGTGGAACTGATTTGGAGGTGTATTTGTGTGTGTGTATATGTAGAAAAGGGTCAGGTGTACAAACAGAAGCGGCCCACCATGTATCCCCCCTGGAGCAGCACATTTGATGCTCACGTCCACAGAGGACGAGTAATGCATGTGGTGGTCAAGGACAAGACGGCTGAGCTAAAGACGGAGGCTACTGTTCAACTCGACACCCTCGCTTCACGCTGTAAGAAAGAGAACGGCAAATTGGAGATCTGGGTGAGAGTTTGTGTGTGATCAACAGTGGTGACATGCTCAGAAAATCAAATCAAAGCTAAATGGAAACAAATGTGTTGCCAGTGCTGATATACAGTCAACCATTGGGTGGATTAGAACACTAAACTGCTCATATTAAAAAAATTAATTAAAAAAAATTGAGCAAATGGATGTGTTATAAATGTTTTCAATATATTTTCAATAAATCCGAGAGATTCATTTTCGTGTATTATAGGTTGAACTGAAGCCACAGGGTCGCTTATTGATGGAAGCGCACTATTTTTTGGAGAGGAGTGGTGAGTATTTCTAAATCAAATCAAAGCTAAATGGAAACAAATGTGTTGCCAGTGCTGATATACAGTCAACCATTGGGTGGATTAGAACACTAAACTGCTCATATTAAAAAAATTAATTAAAAAAAATTGAGCAATGATAATGTTATAAATTTATAAATGTTTTCAATATATTTTCAATAAATCCGAGAGATTCATTTTCGTGTATTATAGGTTGAACTGAAGCCACAGGGTCGCTTATTGATGGAAGCGCACTATTTTTTGGAGAGGAGTGGTGAGTATTTCTCAAAATCAGATCCACACACAATCTCTCACTGATTAATATATTAATGCAAGCATTATTACTTCTATTATTACGTTATCATTTTTTATGAGCTGATGGATCTCGCCCACTGGGATTAGGGGACATAAATAATTTTTGGTGTTTTTGTGTGGGTTCTTGTTTGTTCTTAGACGCTTCAGGTCACGGTGAAGGAGATGGAGAAACCGAACGGGAAAAAGAAGGAGTGTTCGCACTGCATCACAGACGAGGAGCCATCAAACAGGCTAAAGTTCATGTGGTCAAATGTCACGAGTTTACCGCCACCTTTTTCCCTCAGCCGACCTTCTGTTCAGTCTGCAAGGAGTTTGTCTGGTATTATGTCTCAAATATACATATTTAAAACAACACTCTTATTAGGAAATAACTTCTACAGATAACATGAAACAACATGAATCAGCATTCACAACTTACGTAAAATAATGTGGGGTGGAATTTTATGGATTAATCTATTGATCTATTTTAATTTGACTGGATTAAAACATGTTAACAAGGAAAATACTGATTAATGATATTTTTCACCTATATTGCCTTGATTACATCAGCAGAGAAAGTTATAACCTTTTGATGAAAACAAAGATTTTTTTTTCTATAAAATACTTTGCACTGACAAAGTGTGAACTGTATAAATACAGAGTTCTGGCATGAAACTCTAGATGGCGCAGTCCAATAGGTCTAACTAAATCTGACCTAATGACATCATTATCACATGGCACAGCTGATTGGTTCTCTCCTGTATCGGTAGCCAATGAGCTCACTGCTCAACATTCAAATATATGACTAGTGCTTGCCGTAGCAGTTGCAGCTTGCTTCAGGAACCCCCCACCTTCCCCAGCTCCACCTGTATAGATCTGCTACGAGGTGATTCATGTATGCTATATGGATTTCATGGTCTCTTTAGAACATCATTCAATCATTGAATCATTAAAAAAATACTAAACTAGAATAAATCTTATCAAATGTACTCAACATCAAATTTACATTATGACATATAGGTGTATGATATATAATGGTGAGAATATATATGGGCCATTCTACAGAATTGGTCCAAACTGCTGTCCCACAACCAAAAAACACATTTAAAAAGCATTTATGTATTCAAATCTTAGATGTTTACTAAGATCATTCTATTCTCTACTGAAACCCACAATAATATTTAAAATATAAGTAAGCTTAATATATATATAAAATCATAATTTATTGGGTACTTTCAATTGGGAGGTGGCTGTCACGAACCCTAACCCCTAAGTTTCAACTTATGAAAATGATATTGAAATAATTTTTGTATTTTCTTTCCATTGTTGTTTTTAAAAATATATTTTTGATTCTTTTAAAAAGTGAAGTTCAAAAAAATATTTATTTTATATTTTCTTTTTTTTAAATTATGAAACTTTCTGTTAAAAATGTGTCCCGCATTTTCCATGTCACTACCGAAACAGTGTATGTTTTAGTTCATTGGCTGAGACTGAAATTAACTACACCCCTACATTTATGATCAGGAAATATTTATGTCTCTCTCTCTCTCGTAGCTACAGGGTGAGTTAAATGTGTTCAAAAGCCTGAAAATCTGTGTGTAACTCTAAGGAATGTCACTACCGAACACCTTTTTTCTGCAATTAAGCGCACTTTTTGGAAGTTTTTCCATATCATTTAATTGTTATGTGTGTACAACTGTTCAGAACTGTGCTAGCTAACCATGTGCTGATTAGCATCTTTGAGATAAGTTTAAAAGTATCTAAAATTGTCACTACCGAAACATTTGGTGGAGTTTCGGTAGTGACATCTTTGTTTTTTTGGGTGTTATCCCATAAAATTGTCCCTACCGAAACAGTCACGACCGAAACATGTCATCATTGTTTTTAGTACAGTTATGCAGTTCTTTTTTTTGTATTTTAGTATTTTTTTCTTGTAGTTTTAGTATGCAAGTTAAAATTCTGTAATGTGATGTGGTCGCTACCAAAGCATTACTGTCTGTCACTACTGAAAATGTGCAGTCACTACCAAAACATGGGATGTTTTGTCAAAAATAAAGTGTACTGAATTATCAACTAAGATGTTATGATAGTTTTTGGTTCAATGTATATTCAAACTAATGAATCCTTAACTTTGAACTCAGTATGATCAACTTTTTTCCTTTTACAAAGAAAAATTGGATTCAAAATACAACAAATCTCATAAATTACACTTGAAATATTGTTAAAAATGTAACTGTTATTGATTTACCTCTGCAAAAATTTATAAAATAGCAAAAAATATATATATTTACAATGTAGATGTAAGCTAAATCTTAATAGGTCAATATAACCCTTCTAATTAAATTATTATTACTGTTTCGGTAGTGACAAATTTGGGGAGAGGGCAAATATTCCAAAACTCTGAAAATACAATATGAGAATTAACTGCACAATTACTAGAAATGTGTAACTTAGATATTATACAATTTGCATATATATATATATATATATAGAGAGAGAGAGAGAGAGAGAGATAGATAGATAGATATGTATGTATATTTATATGCAAAAAATAGCACTTACATTATATTACATTATACATTACTAATATTTATATAACATAACATATTAACATTATAAATATAAATGTGGTTTCTTTTCCTATTTCAGGGGCCTGAATAAACAGGGATATCAGTGTCGGCGTAAGTCATTTTTTTCACATCCTCATTGCTGTAGCGGTTCCTATACAAGTTTCCACTGAATCACTGTCAGGACTCCTCCTACACACTTCTCTCTGTTTTTTCCCCAGAATGCAATGCTGCCATCCATAAAAAGTGTATCGACAAAGTCATCGCCAAATGCACAGGCTCAGCAATAAACAGTAAAGAAACCATGGTAAACACAAGGTTCTTTTCATCACCCTTTTATACAATTACATAAAGCACACAAAGTGTTTTGTTTCGTTTATGGTTACTTAACACTCACAAAAGGGTTTTGGTGCCCTGATTTTACAGTAAGTCAGAGACCTTTGGACATTTTGTGCAACTGTAGGCTAATTATAGATTCAGCAAAGCTTTATTAATCTGCAAATGAATGCATGATTATAAATATTTAAGAAAATTAATCATCTTTTTGTCTCAGAATCCTTCCTCTTTCAGTAATTGGTAAATGCCACAAAATAGTTTTTCCAACCTTTACTGAGTCACGCTGAAAATAACGAATGACGTTTTGGACAAATGTTCTTGTTGACCTGGTGTGTGAGTGTGTGTATGTGTTCTACACTAAATATGTGTGCATATGTGTGTGTTTCAGATCCATAAAGAACGTTTTAAGATTGACATGCCTCACAGGTTTAAAGTGTATAACTACATGAGCCCGACATTCTGTGAGCACTGCGGAACCTTGTTGTGGGGTCTTGCTCGGCAGGGCCTTAAATGTGAAGGTGATTCATTACACAACCACATGCCAACTATGAATGTCTAAGGGTCATTCTGTGAAAGGATCATTCTGTTTTTTTCCATTTTGTAAACGTCTATACTATTCTATCAAAAACTGTGTTTAAATAATGTAATTATTACATTAAAATTAGTAATTAATCACATCCAAAATAAGAGTTTTTGTTTAAATAACGTGTGTACTGTGTATATTTCTTATGTATATATATATATATATATATATATATATTTTTTT